AGGATGAAATTTGGTTGTCGAGTTGGGGGGGAGGGGTTGGGTAGGAATATGCAAACGTCAGAAAACATCGGCCACCCTGAAATTGAGGTAAATACGTGACTTGTACAAAAAGCTATTTAGAGATCTTAGAAGGTTGACTATTTATAGATACTTTTGGAAGCGGGCTGCTCTGACTCTGCTTGTTAGGCCAATCCAAACTGACAGGGATACAACGTACCATTGGAAAGATGGAGATACTCGATAAAAAGTCTCGCCACATGAGAATGGAACTCATGCCTTGCTCGTGCAACGGCGAAGCGCTTTACCTTACACTACAGGCGCGGATATTTTTATCTGAAAGTTTCTGTATGTTCTATTGGTGAACATAACACACTTTGATTTAAGTTGTACATGTATCTCTTTATCTTAAGTCCATGCATTACGAGAAAAGACTATGATAATAATAAATATTATACGTGTAATAATGACGTGTTGCTAGTGCCCTGCAACGCTGTATGTCTTCCACGCATGTGTGGGAACATTCATTTACAAAAATATGCCGGGCATGGAATTTCCAGTAACGCTGGGAAAGCTTGTTTTCAGAGGTAAAATTAGTGAGAAAATGGCCACCCAAGATTAGTTATTTCCTTAGCTTGAGAGTCCGTGGTAACTGAAAATTAAAATTTTTGTGCCTTTATTCAACGTTTTTCAGAAAAATCCACACAGAAATGAGTTCTTTAATGGGCATGAAAGGTGTTGAGGCAAAAAACAAAAATTTGATAAAAATTCACAAACCTGCAGAAAAATGCAAGTTTCTTTTATTTAATTATTTTGACGAGAGCCTGATTCCACCACGCTGCCTCACATTTTTCCTTTCTCTCTTTATAATCTTTCTATAATATTTCGTCTTAGGTGATCGGGAATTCCTGTGGGATGCCGCCTTTGAAGGTTTGGTCCTGTCGTCCTACTACTACGGCTATCTGATCACCCCTCTGTTGTCCAGTTACCTGGAGCGAGTTGTAGGCGCCAAAAGGCTGGTGGCGGTGTCTGTGGGAATGGGAGCGGTCATCAACCTGCTCACCCCTCAATGCACGCGCGCTCACCAGTACCTGCTCGTGGCTCTACGCGTCCTGGCTGGGACCACTAACGTGAGTAATAACAATAATAATAATAA